AACATTATTGTTTCGAGAGAGAAAAAACTAATGAGTTGTAATAAAACTCATCTGTGTAAAATTAACAGGTCGCCGTGCGTTAACTTCGAAATCAAATACATACTGATAATAATTTGAAATCTATTGAGAGTTAGCCCCATAAGAATTATGTAAACAATTTTACCATATTTTATATCTTTTGGTTTGTCACAGAAACATGATTCTCTTGTCAAATTAAACTTATGATCGGCTCGACTCTGGTTTTAATAATCTGGGTTTAATACATGGTTTTATTAATAAGTACAAAAAGTGTTAATATATAATGGTTATGGTGTCAATGTTAGACAGTAGTGTGTATTATAAAAAAAATCTGCTTTGTATTTTAGTATATAACAACGATACCTTTGATTTCACTCAAAAAACATATTTCGCAAGTTACCATTTGTCATTTTGAACGATGTTAGGCCCTACTCTCGGGTCAACAAGCATAAATAGATATGAGCCTTTACTGCCACGTAACCAGTAGACTTATAAATAAACGGTATCAGCATTCTGACACATACTTTCTCCCATAAGTTTGTCAACAACCTTTATCATGTGTAAGCGGTGAGAGTAAATATACGGAAATGGGATTTGTACAATTTTGTTCAGAATTTAAAGGACTATAACATGCTAAATTTTTATCAAAATCGTTCGGGCCATTTTTGGGAAAATCCGATTTTTCTGTTATTTTATGGAGGTTTTATGGGAAAATGACATAATTTACAATAACTTTTGAACCGTAATTTTTACAGAAATGGGATGTGTATCATTTTGTTCAGAATATAAAGGACTATAACATACTAAATTTTTATCAAAATCGTTCAGGCCATTTTTGGGAAAATCCTATTTTTCCGTTATTTTATGGGGTTTTATGGAAAAATTCCCATTTAAAAAAATTTCTAAAAAATTAAAAAAAAACTATCAAAACTGTAAGGACTATAACATACTATGTTAAATCAAAACCGGATTTTTTCTAAAATCCTATTTTTTGTTATTTTATGGGGTTTTTATGGGAAAATAACATATTTGACCATAACTTTTGAACCGTAATTTTTACAGATATGGGATTTGTACCATTTTATTCAGTCAGAATTTAAAGGGCTACAACATACTAAATTGTTATCAAAATCTTTCGGTCCATTTTTGAGAAAATCCGATTTTTCCGTTTATTATGGGTTTTTTATGGGAAAATCTCCATTAAAAATAAAAATTTCTAAAAAATGAAAAAAACACCTGGAGATACAATGGATTAGAACCTACATACCAAATTTCATCGAAATCGGACCACAGGTGTAGTCTCTAGCTCTGTACACATCCAGACACACACAGGTTTGTAAACAGAACTTTCTGAGGACCGCAGCAGCAACCGTACGTTCTGAGGACATAACGAAATATTGATGTTTTCGTATTAAAATGCATCACAATTTGCTGTAAATATCAATATTATACTGCATTTAAAACCTTATTTTCGTTCGTTGAATTTGAATTTGAGTTTTCTTGTTACGGACCATACTTTGTGAGGACCATAAAAATAGTACAACGCACTGAGGACACATACAAAATGACCGTTAGTTGAATAATTGCAGACTATCTGAGGACTATTGTTTTTGATCATCCAAGTGAGTACACACACAAAATATTGCTCAATTGTTCATTTACGAACCCTGCACTGTAGGTTAGGTTATCTGCACGTATTTACGATTGCCTTGTTTTAAACAAAATTGTGATAATATGCTACCTGCGAAATTATAAGGACTAACCGATCTACCTGTGCGACTGGTCAACTTTGGTTAGAACAGCCCTGTTTATTAAAATTGGTCAATGTTTCTTTTTGTACTTGATCGTACAGTAGTTTTTTTCATGTCCTACTGTGTTTATCTTTTTACAATGTTTACAACTGATCAACGTTACTAACACCTAAACCTGAGGATGGTGTTTTAACACCGATACATTTCCTAATTTGAGACATTTTAGTCTTGGATTAAAGATATTTCCTGGGTGTAAACTTGAACTTGGTTTTTGTTCTAGAGCTCAGAAGTCAACATTTTGAACATAGATGTAATAACATCTAAAACCCTATTTTTTTTCTATTATTTTCTCTTTGAATTTAGTCCAGTTATAAAAAGTCTGACATTTTTAAAATTCGAAAGCACAACGATCATGCTCTTATTTTATACACCATAGCCTTGGGCACAGTTGACGTAGAACCCAGTGTTATTGTTTGGAGGAAATTATCAGAGGTGTAGATAAGAAACAGACAGAACGCATCTGTTGGTTAACAGATTGTAGGGTTAGCACAACGAGCTGAGTAGAAGCTGTAAATGTTTTTAGAAAGAGACAGAGATGGTCCCATCTCTTGTCAAACTATTAACAATATATGTCCGCCTCACGCGGGTATAGGTAAATAACGGTGTCATAATCTGTAGGTAGAGAACTTGTAAAATATCGACCTATCCATATATTTAACACAATCTCCTTATATTTACATCAGTTCTGAAAATCTAAGATTTATGTTGAAAATAAAAAAAAACATATTTTTGATACGAAATACTTTGAAAACTTCACATTTTCTTTTTTAAAGGCACCTTTTGGCTGCCTTTTCTTGAATATTGGTATCAATTTGTTGGAAATTTTATTCTCTTTCAGAATATCATCTACACTTTGGTTGATTTCCTTACCGTTTAAGTTATTTTCAAAAAAGCTAAGCATTTTCCTGGTGCTGCTTTAATGACGCAAGCCCAATCCCAAAGTGCAGTAAAGAAAGTGCTTCGGTGAAAAAAATATTATGAATTTGGTGTAACTTAGTGCCTTAATGAAGTTAAAAACTGCTTGAGCAGCTGATGCAAAATGATATGAATGTGGGTAGGCCTACTGTTAAATAACGTATTGGTATGTATGAAATGGTCTTCGTTCATTCTCATACGAGACTTCGGAGCGCCCGTACTCCTAGTTAATATTGCTTAATGCATGAAATCACATGTTAAAATACAGTTCTTAGTTTATAGTTGTTTGTTTTTGTTTAGATTTGGAATAAAAATGGTCTTTTATGATTTTTTTTTTAATTCCTGTCTGTAAGCGAGTACTTCTTCAATATCATCTTCATCAATGTGGTCCTGAATTATCGAAAATTTCAAGTGCAGTTAATTCAAATGTTGTAGTCTAACTGATCTTTTGAACAATCAATACCTGATAAAGGCCTATTAATTTTGAAAGACGAAGCGGGCAAGGCCAGCCTTGATCTCCTCAGTGCAAAAAATTGTCCCAAACTTTTAGCAGTGAGACCTGAGACCCCTCTAAAAAAAATCCCCATCATAACTTTGGGGCGCTTGGAACAAAACTTCTTTTTGGTGGTATGAAAAAACTGGAAGCCGACTATTATCTCCAACAAGTTATGTATTGTGACGACTACAACTCCTAAGATGTCATTAGGTAAAGACACGATCGTAAGTGAGGGCATACGGTACTCAATGGTTTTACAAACCAATAGATTTTTTTGTACTGACAATTTTAAAAACTTTCCATTTGAACGTGTTGGAAACTTCTCATATTGACCGACCGGTGATGATGGATTCCGAGTCATATAGCTGGGGGCTTCACCAAAACCAGCACTTCCCATCCTTTTGAGCATTGAGCCTGTCCCAAAAGCCTCCGCATATATCCTAGCCTGTAATTGTTTATCCAAGTGTCTATCTACAATGTGCACGTGCAAGAAGAATGGACTGACTTGCACCAAACTGTACCACCGTTCTCGACAATGTTTGAACCTTTTATATGGTTGTAAATTTTGTTCATATCTTCTTTGAAATATTGCAATTAACAGTATTTTATATCTGAACTGGTCTTTTTCTCATATTCCTTGTTCTCTTCCGAGGACGGAAGTTTTGGCGGCAGTGTTGGAACCTATGTCCTCCAAAATCGTAGGAAGTGAATAATGAGTGTTGCAATCCGTTTGGCATCGGATAAAATACTTTTGTAGACGTTTAAATAATAATTTCAAACAAACAAACAAGGGAGTTATAAGGAAACAAGGTTTTTGGTGGCCATATTGTGTGCCATCTTGGATCATATGCCTCCAAAAGGTAATGTAAATAAATTTTGAGTGTTGCAATATGTTTGGCATCTGATAAAACCCCTATGCAGATGTTTAAACCAGTATTTTAGGCAAACTAACAACATAGATATGGGGTAAACAGGGTTTGGCCACCATTTTGGATACCGCACTTCCAGTTCAAATTTCGCTTTGGCAACAGGCAAATTCGTACTCAGCAGGGTCGAATTACCCTAAAAATGTAGTTTCCCCAATTGTTACATGAAATGCTTCTTGCATTTTATAGATATGGGTTTCATAATTATGGACCTGGTCTATAAAGGTATAACAGTTGTTTTACAGTATTCATATTATATAACATTATAAATGTACAAAATTAACAAAATTAAAGCTAGTCAAAACTGTTCCATTTTTTCAGTCATTATATAGATATACATTTTTCAATACATACTATATTATATTATATAAGTCTATAATATAATGTAAATACTTAATTAAAAACATTTTTTTATGACATCCAACTGTTTATTAAACCAAGCTGAAGCCAAATTCTAGATAAAAAGGTGTTTCAGAAACTCGGCAATAGAATTTGAAACCCAGTTTCAATGCTTTCTCATGGATAACAGATACATACTGAGAATCTTAGTTTAAAGGCACCAACTCGCAGTTCTAAAATGTTCTTATCGTCCTACAACTTTTATAATTCTATGATAACACGGAAACATATGGTCTTTATAACATGTAAGGGATAGTCAAAACCTATCAAGACATTTAGATACATCTGTTATTTATTTTACCTACGACCGTTGTTTAAAGTACAGTAGAACTCCGATTATCTGAATCAATTGGGACCAGACCCCATTCGGATAATCGAACATTCGGAAAATCGGAGTTTAACAGGAATTCCGGGAATTTCCAAGAAAAATTCTCATTTTCGGTACTAAATGAACTTTTAATTAATAATAAATGAAATCAGAACATTTTTACAGTTTACAATGCTCATAGCACAAGTGTTCTATACATTTTCTTAAGTTTATAGTGTTCCATCAAAGTAAAAAATTACACACTGGCTAAATTTGTTTAGTAATAATTCTTTGATATTTTGCGAAACTTATTATTACTGTAGCTTTACGTTTTTAAAATTGTTGAAATAGCGATTCGGATAATCGGAGATTCGGTTAATTGGAGTTCAGATAATTGGAGTTCTACTGTATCCGTTTCAGTTCAGTTCTTAGAATTGAAAAGTTTCTCATAACAGAATTGTTTACTTTCATAACAGCATAGTTTTACATAAAAACATGGGTAACGGACCAGTGAGGTTCAAGGATTGAAAGAGTAGAAGTAAAATTGTAATGATTCGTACTTCATAAACAGCTGTTCAGGCCAATTTAATTGTTGAGTGGTGCAATTAGTGTTTGGTACAATGTTTCGTTGCATCACTGTCAGTGGCAATAAGAGGTTATAAACAAAAACATAACCTCTCTTAGAAGTTATGAGTAGTGATTTTTAGTAATTAAAACACCGTCGTAGGTAAAGTAGTGTACGCAACTCACATAAATAGTGTTAACAACACTCGTAGAAGTTTTGAAGGCACTCACCAAAGCTCGTACCTTAAATTTTTTACTCGTGTCGTTAACACTATCTTTACGCAACCGCTGTTAAGCTGTTTTTATTTTATTACTCTGGTTAGTAGGAGAGAGTTATTCGGTTGAATGCATGACATTTACCAGGGGTCTGCGGATGAGACATTTTTACTTTGGGTTGGGTGTGGTCAAAAATATTTACCTTTGGGTCTTGGGAAAAATGGGGTTGCTTTGGAGGGTATTGTTTTAGTTAATGGTTTTTTTATAACTAAATTCAGTTTATAAAATAAAAATCTTGCTTTACCAACAACTCCCGTGGTCGAGGGAAAATTGTGAATGTTTCCTGTAAATAATGATATTGTGAAGTTCTTCAGCAATCAGGAACATCTCAATTTTCAATAGCACTATCTTCATATAGACTTTCTGCAGCAAACGCTCAAACACTCACAATGTAGATAACCCGAGATTGACCCAAAAATGATTCCCATCCCGAACCTATCTCTTGAGTATACTAGACATACTGTTGGCATGTGCCCTCTATGTACTGGGGTCAAAGTGATGGAACAAGTTGAAGATGGTCTCTGGAATGTGTTGAGTGACAGCAGACAGAGGCAGTCCTGCAATGTCTGAGAACAACACCAGGAAGTGTAGACTGGACACTACTTCAGGTGGAAACTCTGACTTGCTGGAACCTCTGTAAATTAGACAGAGAATATGAGAAATTATAAATGAATGACTTCTGTACATTACGCATAACAGCTGAAAAAGAACTTTTTAGTCTTCTCGCCTTCAATAACTAAGTAGTGGTGTGACAGTTCTTCTTTTTCGAAGTTGATACCACTCTCTTAACAAAATCAGTTTTCAGTACCAGTGACATTACTATCTAAGTTCTAGTAGTACATTTTTTTAAATAGGGGCCACTAGCTGCCATCATCAGACCATGCCGCAAATAGCCCAAATTCTTATTGGTAATGAATGGTTGGTACAAACATTTGAACGTCCAGTACTTTTCCAAGTACTAAGAATTTCTTCCAGGGAATGACATATCACGATAACTTAACCAACCCACTGGTTACTTAACTAACATTAGGTAACGTTAACTTAACTTTATCTTGTGTAATTTTGTTTTAAGATTTGGTAAATAAACAAATTTATAAACAAAGATAAACAAATAAAATCTTCACAATAGCAAACAGCTGATAACTAATTTAAATTACAAGCACAATTATCAAATCGGATTTTGCCTGTGAGTGATTATTGCCAAAAGTTACTCACGTGACAGTTGCTTCAATGTGGGATTTGACATACTGCGCCATATACACCAGAAACTGATCCCTGATCTCTGGATGGAACTGGCGGAACAGTGTTTGTAGTCCAACGATGAAAGGCATTCCATCCAACGGTTCACCCGCCTTCTTCCATATAAGAGTACCTGATAACAAAGTTGTCAATGTTTACAAAGTTTTGGGGCTTTTAAAAGTCATTAAATATTTTCCATAAAACTATTGGTATATTTTGAGGCAGAATCGCTCTTCCTGAGCAGTGGAGAGAGAAACATGGCAACACTACACTCCAGGCCTAAAGAGCAAGTGCTTTTGCGTTAGTTCACATGGAGCGACTTTGAAATGTCAAGGTTGACAGAATGAGAATGTAAATTTATTTTTTTATCAGTCAAGATTTGGTTTGACTAAGCCAGACATACTGCATCATTACAGTAGACTCCCTCTTATCCGGACACCTCGGGACCAAGGCCAGTCCGGATAACAGGTTTTCCGGTTAAACCGACATCCCCATAAACTCGTTATGTAACCCAAATATTTCACTTAAATTTAGGAGAGCATTGTATTTAGACACGTAATCACTGGTCTCAAATCTTTCCCACGAGAACAATCGTTTCAGTACAGCCCACTTCCTGCCGATCTAGTCCGGTTAAACCAATGTGCTGATAAAAATTGTCCGGTTAAAGAGATGTAATTTCCGCCGAGTGTAGTCCGGTTAAACCGATGTCCGGTTAAAAGGTGTCCGGATAAGAGGGAGTCTACTGTAGCTTATTTAAAATCAAAAATCATAATCTTACCTAATGTCTTGGAATACTGAAGCCGACTAAGTTGAGCAATCACAAACAAGAAGGTAAACAATGAGAAAAACTGGAGGTTCTTGGTTGTGATGTAGATCTTAGCAAATGGATTACCAATTCCAGCCCAGTCTAGGTAAGTGGAGATCTGAAAGTATGGAAGTCATCTGTAGAATATAATTCAGGAAAGAGATTGTTAGTTTTGTTAGGATAATTTTTAGACATAATCATGAATTTCAGAAAAGATTTGATTTCGACAAATGACAATGTAATAACTAAATTACAAATCAATTTTGTAAAATTTTGCAAAAGCACAAATTAAGAAAATCACCGAGGAGCTTTTACTGCTGAAACTACCAGTAGGCCTATGAGATGGTAATAATATTTTGAGAATCTAATACCGGTACTGGAAATGTAGTGATATTGTGATATTTACCTCCAAAAGCAGTTGGCTGTCTTCACGAGGATAAGGTTTGGTTGCCGGATCCTTGTAGTGATCTTTGATCTCATTCAATAACACCCTGAAAGAATAATTATCCATCAATCAATCAATGCAATGACGCCATTCGTGCACATGTTTGCAAATTATGAATAAAGTTGATTTCATTTCATTTCATTTCAATCCATCAAAACTATGGGAAAAATAAATACTGACTCGTTTAAGTGTTGTAAAAAATAATTACATGCAGGCAGACCAGTAGGTATATACTCCTCAGCTTTGAAACCGCGATATATAGAGACTAGTACATATTGGTGTTGAGGTGTTTGGGCGCTGCCAAGACGACCTTATCTGGGTCGTTGCTGCTGATATGTGGTTGTACTCGCCATGATCAGGGGTCTCCTTAGCTTTGAAAACGTGATATTTCGAGAGACTTAAGGATGTAAGAATGTCGGCAAGTAGACACAAATCTAAGTTTTAAGAAAAAATTGTGGTGTTCACCAAATGGTTTCATCTTTAATTTTTGCCACACAGACCGTGCAAACTCGTAATCTTCTTCTGAACACGGTTCATTGTTCAATCTGTCAAAAAATGCGTCCCGTGACAGTAACTCAGTTTGGTCAAAGACCGCTGTGGTGGTTACAAAATCATATGGGTAAATACCTATGCGGCGGGACCAATTTTGATGACTCGATGTTTATTCGCTTTCAGACAAGATGTTTGCCAGTTTGGCCAAGCTTGACGACGTGAGTCTAGGAATCTAAATAACGGATCCAAATCCTGCCTACTCGTACCGATATGGCAATGCTTTTGTCGTTAGTGCATGGAATTACTTTAACTTCACAATCCGGAACTGTAGAAAGACTTTTTACTATGAAATGTCCATCATAGTTAGACATACTGTGCCAATATACCAGTATATAAAGTTAACAGTGGAACATCGTAAGTTGCATTTGCTACAGAGAATGTGTCATATGTTTCCGGTCATGTGACAGTGATCAATTACTTTACAAGGGCTGTCGTTAAAGGTCTCTTGCATAATTTACATTCGGCAGTTGTTTCAAATTGATTGTTTTCTTCCGCTGTTAGTGTTTTTAATGGTTCTTGTCGCGTGTACAGTTGTTCGACACGAGCAGCAAGCTGTTGCATATGGATCATGAAAGATTGTGCTGCATTGGGAGAACGGTGTGGTTCCGCTTCCGTGCTAATACCTACTTCGTGCAGCATCTCAACAGGTAGAGTGGTTTTCACTAGCGTACAGTAAGAGTTGAATTCGTGACACTGGTACGAACAATAAGACTCCACGACCGGCACTAGCGTAGCTTCAAAGTCAGCTACAACAATAATTGGGACCGGAATTTGATATTTGAATTCCTCAAATTTCAATAGGTTTTCCCCTTCTTTCGGAAGACGTTTGGTAGCGAGTTTGAATTTTTTACAAATACGCAAATGTTCTTCAAGTCATATTTTGGGACCCATTTTACACTTTCTAGCTTCTCAGTGTATCGAGCTGTTTCGATACGTTCACTGATGTGTTCGGGTTGTTCCTTTGGAATATGTGAATGGACGATACTGACACTGGAAATTTAAGATATTTAAAATCATAGTGGTCTTTGATCAAAGTGACTCTCATTTAAAACAGAGTTAACGTTTGCATCGGGTAGGTGTTTTACAAGAACACTACATAAACCTTTTTCATCCCTATTTTGGATATTTGTGGTTGCTTTACGTTGGCTGATTCTTTTTGGTAGGTTAATATATGATTTCCCAGTGGGTTTCTTAAATGTAAATCTACTTACTCTTATAGTTAAGCTAGACGGATGATCCAGACTCCAGCCGCTACCTTTGCCCTCAAACTCGGACTGTTCCGCAAGCAGCTTCGCACCATCCTGCGCCAGCATGTCCTCGAGATCGTCAGAGCCCCCGTAGATAGCCCTAGTTGTGGTTTTAAAGTTGAATTCCTCTAGGATGCCTTCGTGTAGATGGTTGAAGTAGGACAGCAACACCAAATTGAATTTTAGGCTATGCGTTGTCTTCAGCTCCTCACGCAGTAGTTTTTCAACCAGAGGAAGAGCCGATGCTAGGAATTCCTTTGAGTCTTTGTAGTAGTTGTCCGGGTTGTCAATCGTATAGTCACGACAGCTTAGAAGACCACGTTTGAGATGCCATTTCAGCTTTGGAGATGGTATACTGCTGCTGCTGCTGCTGCTATGTTGTGAGCGTTGAGCACTGTTGTTGTATTTTGAACTGCTACTGCGTTGAAGACTGCTATTCCGTTGTGAACTGCTGCGTTGTGGACTGCTACTGCGCTGTGAACTGCTACTGCGTTGAACACTGCTACTGCGTTGTGGACTGCTACTGCGTTGTAGACTGCTACTGCGCTGTGGACTGCTGCGTTGTAGACTTCTGTGTTGTGGACTGCTGCTGCTGCTGCTGCTGCTGCTGCTGCTGCTGCTGCTGCTGCGACTCCTTACTCCTTTTGATTGTTTGGCCGGAGGTGGATTGCCAGGGCTGCGTCGTCGTCGTAATTTTCGGAATCGGCTCGTGTACCCTTTGGTAGCAAGACACATAAGCTGGTGCCTCGCTAAGGATTCCTCTGTTAAGAAGTATGCATCATGGCATATGGTGCACTCTAAAAAATCCATGTGTCGCTTGACACTCTGCGGATCGTTGTGTGCCGATCCACAGAACTGCTCGGCTCTTTTATGCTCGGTGGTTAGGGTGGACCGACCTTGTGATTACACATCCATGACATACTTACCTCACTTACTAACCTCGTTCTAGATTCTCAATCCTCGACCTACTGACATCAATATAACCAGTCAGTCCTCGACCTACTGGCCGGGATCAGTCCTCGACCTACTGACCACAATCAGTCCTCGACCTACTTACCTCAATCGGTCCTCAACCTACTGACCAAGATCTAGATTTTCAGTCCTCGACCATGTCCTAAATTTTATTCGGATCAGTGGGTCACCCAACCCCGGAATGGGGAGGGGGGGGGCCTCAACTGCGGGTTTATAAGACTATCGGTTCAAGCTACGAAAGCACAGTTTGCTTGGCGCACACATCCGCTGCACACCTTCTTGGTAAGTGTTACTGGTTTCTCTTTTTACATCTACTCACAACTTTTTACATTTTGACAATACTTGATACTGTACACTCTGCTCACAGGCGTACACACTTACTTATTGACAGGATAAGAAATAACAACAGCTATTGGTTGGGTTTTTTTTTTAATTGAATAATTCAAGTAAAAAATCTTCCTCTAACGAAGCATAGCCAGATGAACTACTAGCTGAAGCTTCAGCTAATAGACTATCTTCGTCTAGACTATCTTCGTCAGAGGAGATATTTATTATTTCTGGTGACGGTTGAGGTGGCGGCGGGGTTTGCCGCGACGGCTGCGGCGTGAGTGGTTCCTCAACCACATCCTCAGGCAGTGGCGGCGAGGTTTGCCGCGACGGCTGCGGCATGAGTGGTTGAGGAAGCGGTGTCGGCGGGGTATGCCGCGACGGCTGCGGCGTGAGTGGTAGAGGAGGCGGTGGCGGCGGGGTATACCAAGATGTCGACGGCTGTGGCGACAGTGGAGCTGGTGGATATAGCAGCATCGGCGACAGCGGTGGATCTGACTCCAGCGGCAGCGGTGACGGTGCGGTTGCTGCAAGTGGCAGCGGTGCCGGCGGAGGCGTAAATCTCCGACGCACAGCTGGAATACCGCTTACGACCGCTGTTGGTTTTCTCTTTCTGCCGAGTTCCACCTCGTATCGCTGGGTCGTCTCGCAGCGCATCACTGCTGCCATCAATCCCGCTGAAAGAAATAAATATGTTTATACAACTTACTCTGACTGACAGAATACAAAGCTATGTAGACATTACCACTGTTATCCTTGCACTTGTTAAGCCTAGTGTATTTAGTATTTTTGTATTGTTATTGTTTTCTGAGTCGGGTTTTAATTCCTATAATTTTAATACTCCTAATCGATGTACATACTTGTTTAAGGTAAGTATGGGGGATTCATGTATTTATTGTATTGATATTGTCAACTGTTGACGTTCCATTAAGTTTAAAGTTTTTAATATATAAACAAAGTTTTTGTAAAAATATATTTGTTTTATCGACAAAGAAAGATTTTTAATTTTTAAGAAAAAAAAACGTTTTGGATTTACTTTAAACATGTATACGTGAACCGTACTCCTAACAAATGTACATACTTTAAGGGGACTCGAGTATTTATTATATTGGTAATATCAACGTTCCATTTTTATGAGTCCAAAAATGTCATTAGATGCATTCACTACATTTAATATACGCTTTAAGCATAACAAAGTACATGTAAAATTAGTAATTGAAATATTTGTTAATGTCATCAAATTTTAGCATAACAATTTATATTTGCTTGGACCGAAGATGACCCGAAATGCTGTCGAAATGATGGCTTACTATATGAAATGAAGTACTATAGACGATTTAGATTGGTAATTTAGAATAAAAATTACCAAAATAGGCCACGTACTATTGATACATAAACAACGTAAAGCGTAAACAATTCATGATGGTTTGCTCAACAATAACAAATGTTTTACTCAAATGCGTTATCATTTTCTTAGCATAAACTAAGATTTTGGAATACAGACAGAAAAAGCTAAACTTATACAGTTGAGACATCAATTAAATTGAACACGGCTGTAATAACTAAGGTGCAACACCAACGATAACTAATTTGTAAATTACAGTGATGTGTTGGTTTGATAATTCTTTCAGTTACCAACGGTTCTAAGGAAAAGAACCAGTACCGAAAACCAACTTTTACAATTAAGAACTATAGCACATCCTACCAATTTAATGCATTAATCAAGTCCCGAGGTTATTGATCTCTTGGTTTTGGATTTTCTCGTAAATAGTTGTCGGAAATCACATTAATTGTTTTTTATTGTAAACAACTTTTAATGTAAACTTATCAATGTCATTTTGAAAAAAAAAAACAACCTTATCCAAACAACTTTTTGTAATTTAATATATTACGTATTCTCTAAACAATGATTAGTATATGTATTAACATTAGAAGGAAATGTGACAAA